TCAGAAAACATAGTCCACTCAACTTATTTTTGCTACTTTCTGACAGTTTCACTGGTGGGCTTCTTCCCTTCACCTCACATTAAGCTGTGGTATCCGAGTGTTCTTTTGTTAAATTAAGGCAATTAATAAACGGAGACGTTAAGCAATCAGTTTTGCCTGCATATCTCCACAGCCTTACGTCTGACTGGCTGTAATCACAAGATAAATGCAACGTGCTGATGTATGGTAATGTTCAATAATACATTCTCCACCAGGCTCAATTCATCGGGGAGTTTCTGGAGGGGAGGCATTTGTTATTGGCTGTCTCCGGACCTCAAGGATAACATTTCTGTCCTTTCCATTGGCCGCCCTGCTGCTGCAAGCCTCTTCCCGTCTTATTTTGATGATGAATCTGAAGGCATGCTAAGCCGTGCCGGAGCTCAGCTCTCTCCCACCACACTCCCTGCCCGGGCTCAAGGACTCAGGGGCTCCCTCGCTGCCTCCCCCTGCCCACCAGCAGCACCAGCAGCACCAGCAGCAGCAGCAGCAAACGCCAAAAGTTGTGATGCTTTTCTTCGCCCAGTGCTTTGGGGCTGTGTTAGATCTTATTCACCTGCGGTTTCAGCACTACAAGGCAAAGAGGGTTTTCTCAGCTGCTGGGCAACTTGTCTGCGTCGTCAACCCAACGCACAGCCTGAAGGTGAGTTGGGAAAGGTTTTGTCTCTTCTGACGGCTTCTCGCCCTCCGCCGCCGCTGCCGTTTCTCCGCAGGGAGCGAAATGATGCTCGGGCGGCGAGGGGGGAGCGCTGCTAACGCATTGCAGCTCTGGCGGAGAGGGTGTTTGCATTGTCTGGCTGCAGGATCCCTTTGGGAGCGAAGGGGAAGCATCCCGCTGCTCCCAGCCACCGCGGGAAGTCACTGATCCCCCCCTCCCCCAAAGTTTCCTCATCCCCTTCACCCGTGTAAGGAGCAAGCGCCTGGAAAAAACGACTGGAAAAGTTAAGTCGGACCAATGAACATCCCTCTTGGGTGGGAGGTCGCTGACCGGTGCCCCCGGCTGACACCCAAGCACCGCGGGTGCTGCTCAGCCCTGGGGAGCTGGGAGAGGAGGAGCAGCAGCACAGGGGTTTCCAGTCTTGTTTGCATTTTTTTTTTTTGGGGGGGGGGAA